TCATTTTGATGCAAATGGATTTCCAGTTTTCCCAGCACCATTTGTTGAAGATGCTATCCTTCCTCCATTGCATGCTTTTAGCCCCTTTATCAAATATAAGATAGTTGTAGTTTTGTGGATTGGTTACTGTGTCCTCTATTCTGTACCACAAATATTCTTTTATAAAATATTATACAAGTTTCCTGGTTATTTAAATATGATTCCTCCTCTTTGCTTAAATGTAAGCTTTACTTGTGTACTCCTAGGAAAAAAATGGCAAACATGCTGAGATTTTCAGAGTGTCACCTACTACCTTTGAACACCCAAATGCTTCCATGGAAAAATAGCTGAATACAGTTTTATTTTTCTCTGAACTTGACTCCTAAGTCTTGCTTCCCTGGGAGCTGTATTCACACTTTCCTAAAGTCATTCCTGGGACTTTAGTAGATTTACACTTCATTTAAGAGAGAAGTGTGTCTCAGAAGCAGAAGCAGAATCCTTGAATAGGGGATAGAAAGTTACTGATCATGGGCTACAGCTTTCAGATGCCATCACTGGGTTATTGTCAAGTTTAATACAGTTTCCTGCTCTTTACTCCCATCTGTAGGAAACCAGACTCAGCTGCTGTCCCAGTGCAATGACTCCTGGTATGACCCAGCAGGCTCTGCAGCCTCAGAGAGCCACACTGCCAACTGCTTAGGTGAGCAAGGATCCCAGCACCAGAGTCTTCCCATTCCCTGTGCAAATGCCCACTGACATGACCCTGTCTCTCCTCAGACAGCAGACAGCTCCGCCTGGTGGATGGGGGCAGTCACTGTGCAGGGAGAGTGGAGATCCTGCAGCAGGGCTCCTGGGGCTCCATCTGTGATGACAGCTGGGACCTGAGTGATGCCCACGTGGTGTGCAGACAGCTGGGCTGTGGAGTGGCCCTGGAGGCCACCATCTCTGCTCACTTTGGAGAGGGATCAGGGCCCATCTGGCTGGATGAAGTGAACTGCACAGGAGAGGAGGCTCATGTGTGGCAGTGCCCTTCCCAGGGCTGGGAGCAGCACAACTGCAGTCACAAGAAGGATGCTGGGGTCATCTGCTCAGGTCTGTGATACATTCTGTGCAGAGGCTGGAAGGGTCTGCAGGATGGTGCCTGAGCCCAAGGGCTGGTATTGGGTAGCTGCTGACAGGGCAAAGGTGAGATGGTGGCTCTCACAATTCCTTTCCCTGCAGCAGAGGAGAAAATTAGGTGCTTCCATTTCCTGCTGCAGCAGCTCCTTCCATCTCAGCACTGTCTCCTGATACAGTCATTATGTACACTGTCCATTTAAGGCAGTCATTACTCTTCTGTTATCTGCCAGTGCAGCAACAGAAGACACACTGAATTAGTCTTCTATTTCTTCTGTAACATGTTACCATAGACTGAGGGTCTTAAAACAATACAAATTTATCACCTTACAGTGTGTAGATTAGAAGATTGACCTGGGTCTGTGTGGGTATAAACAAGTCGTCATCAGGCTGCAACAGCTGAAGCTCTGGGAAGACTCTTTTTCTTACCTTATTCCACTTATATAAATTACCTGAATTCCTTGTATGACACCTTCCTTCTTCAACCCAAATTGTTTCAACCCTCTTGCCATTCCATGTTCACATCACACTCTGGTGAGGGCTAGTGTGGCTTATCTGTTTGTGAGGATACAGGTATAAGGATGTCATTACATTGAGGAAATCCTATCCAGGATGATCCAAGATAATCTCACAATGAAAGCATACTTTTGTTAATTTTTATTTTTGTATTTGTTTGTTATTTTGGTTATGGGCTTGAATCAGGGGAATCAACCACTGGAGCACAACCATGACACTTTTTTTACTTTTTATTTTGAGACAGAGTCATATTAAGTTGCTTAGAGCCTCACTAAGTTGCTGAGGCTGACTTCGAACATGGGATGCTCCTGCTTTATCCTTCCAATCAACTTGGAATACAATAATGTCCCATCTTGCCTAGAGAGAAAGGATTCTTTTCTTAATCTTATTTGAAAAGCCCCTTTGCAATGTGAGCTCAAATATTCACAAGCCCTCAGGATCAAGAAGTAGTCATATTTGGAGCTTCACTCTTCTACCACCCCTCTGTTTATACTCATTTTTTAGGATCTGTCAGATGGTTAGTCAGATAGTAGATAAAGAATTCACTTCCTGCAGAGTCCCCAGTAAGAGTTGAATAGCAGTAAGAGTTGAATGCTCACTGAGCTCTGTTTTCCTCCTTCCCATTTCAGAGTTCCTGGCCATCAGGCTGGTGAGCAAGGACCAGGAGTGTTCTGGGTGGCTGGAGATTTTCTACAACAATACCTGGGGCAGTGTCTGCCACAGCCCTATGGAACCCATGACCCTATCCATGATCTGCAGACAGCTTGGCTGTGGGGACACTGGGACTCTGGATTTCTTGGTTCCTCCCAGAGAACATTCTACACCACACTGGGTAGATGGAATCAACTGTCGAGAAATTGATAGCTCTCTCTGGCAGTGTCCTTCTGACCCCTGGAAACACCAATCTTGCTCTGCAAATGAGGAAGCTCATATCACATGTACAGGTGACCTACTTTCTATTTTTATGTGTTTGTCCTATGCCTGAAGGTTGTTGTTAGGAAAGTTTTATATATTCAAAAATAATGGATGAGTGGAAATAAATCTACAGAATCAATACTGGATAGAGATTACTTTAACCAACTCTTGCAATCCTGTTTCAAAGGCAAATTTAAGAAAATCTGTGGTATGGGGATTTAGCTCAATCGATAACATGCTCCCCTGGCATGTACAGGGCACTGGGTTGGATCCTCAGCACCACATAAAAATAAAATAAAGATGATGTGTCCACCGAAAACTGAAAAATAAATATTAAAAAATTCTCTCTCTCTCTCTT